TCAAGGATTCTGAAGCTTCGTCTGACATACTTTGGGCATGTTGCAAGGAGGGACTGGTCCTTGGAGAGGGACATCATGTTTGGCAGAGTGGAAGGATGGTGCATGAGTGGAGGACCTTCAATGAGATGGATCGATTCTGTGACTGGAGTGATGGGAATGAGTACCTTTGAGATGGCTAGGTTGGCACAGGATAGAACGGCGTTTAGGGCTCTTGTATGTAGGGTCACTATGAGTCGTAAGCGACTCGATGGCACATAGCAGCAACAACACCACCACCAAACTTGCAAAGTAGATACAGATTTTACCTAGATACGAAGTTGCTGTGCTTAAATTTATCTTGGGTCTGTTTGATTGATTTCTTTATTTTCTTTTTTTTTTTAATCTAAGACCTTTCTTGACTATTAAACTCCTAAGTACTAAGTGTACTTACTAACTTACCTTCTCACATTGTTTTTGCACTTGTACTTTAGCTTAGAGGTAATACTGAAGAATTGTTCACTCAGTTCTGATGTGAACACATAATGCTTTTTAGTTCAATACACAGAGATCTGAAAAGGAAATTTTTGTTGTTCTGACATGACAGAGGTCTTAGAGGCTTTGTAGGATAGCTTTAGCATGACTCCCAAAATAAGAGTGGTTAATGTATATGTATGTATTTATATTCCTCAGCTACCTAGTGTGAGCCAAGAGACTCTGAAACATAGTGGTATTGGACGAGCAGTGATGTATCTCTACAAGCACCCCAAAGAATCAAGGTCCAACAAGGATATGGCAGGAAAATTAATCAGTATGTAAATCTTGTTTGTGTGTGTGTGTGTGTGTGTGTGTGTAGGCAGATAATCTAGATAACAACAATTCATAGCTGTTGAATAGGTCATAGCTGAACCTTCAGTGGGTTTTCCGAGGCTATTTTTGCATGGGAGGAGATTGCTCAGAGTTCTATTGCTTAGCACCTGGTGGGTTCTGATAATCTTGGGGTTGGCAGTGCAACTCCTTACCATCTAGGCCCTCAGAGCTCCAGATAAATAGTCATGTATATATAAAAAACTAATTCTGTTTTTACCTATATTCATTTAAAATAAGTTAGTAAAGTGGGATAGAAAATTTTTCATTTCTTATAGGCACCAGCTTTCCCCCTTAAGCTTATAGTGCTTCCAGATATTAAATATATCAAGTAAGTGTTTATGCTTTCTACTTATGATTCATGATAATGAATAATAAGGTTTAGAATGTAGACTCTGGAGTCAGTCATACTGTTATTTCCAATCTGGATCCATCACCTGCCTCATTACTTTGACCAGGTATTTTTAAATACTAAACTTTGTTTCCTCTGTAAGATTGAGATAACCATGTGCCTACTTTGAATTATAATAAAGATTAAATGAGAGATGTGTATATAGCACAGCACTTAGTACAGGACAGAATTTAAAAAATGCTTAACACTGCTCCTATTGTTAATAGTTGCATAATAGTCTCCAAAACCTTTATAGGTTCTTTTCTAATGGTACCAAAGAAAACCAGAAAAATTTAACTGAAACTCTTCTAAGAAAGTGCTCTTTTAAAAAAAAAAGAAAAAAAGAAAGTGCTATATTGTTTTTGAAATATTTTGCTCTTTAAGAATGAAGCCATGTGTGTTTTCTTCCTTATCTTTTCCTGTACTCTGTTTTGGCAAAGATTTTTAAAACTTCAGAATAGGAAAAATAACTTCTGCATTTCAATACAGATTTTTTTTTAAACTTTTTAGCTTGTCAAAATATTTTCAAGAAATACAGATTTTTTTAAATAGACGTAGATAAGTGTTACTTCTTGTTGTTAAGTGCCGTCAAGTCGTAGATGACTCATAGTGACCCTATGAACAAAAGAACTGAACAGTTGTATAACTTTCATCATTTCTCCAAGTTAATAGAGTTTCCGGTGGATACCACTTCTGCTTCCAGGCTTGTTTTAATCGGGGAGCTCCACTAAACACTGTCTACCATGGGTAACCATTATCACATTTGACACATCAATGTCACAGTGTTTAGTTAGCATTACAGCAACTACAAGTTACGTTTGTACAGCAAATGGACAGACCAGTGTTATACCACTTAGAAGAATGTTTGACCCAAAACAGTTAAAACCAGGCCTGAGGGTCATAGATTAAAATCACCCACCTTTGGCTTGGTAGCATAACTTTCTATCCATTAGACCAACAGAGCTCTCTCATTGTTGTTAAATGCTGTTGAGTCATAAGGACTCATAGCATCCCTATGAACTAAAGACCTGAACACTTACATCTTTAATATTATCAGTAACTGCTTGCCAGGTGGTGTGTTAAAAAAATTTTTGGTACTTTTATGGAGTGATTCTTAATTCCCCCCCCCACCCCCACCCCCCTTAGGTTGAGAAGGGAAGCATAACCTCACTAGTTTTACATGGCTACTATAAAGAAGGACCTGTCTGTACAGGCAGAATATAGATGGTAAAACATTGAGAATGATGCAGGGATTCTCAGGAGTCCATGTATCTTTTGAAACAACTCTCTACCTGCATTGGCTCTACCCCTGGACCCATCATGACGTTGTAATAGTCATGGAAACTAGTGAGGTTATACTTACCCCTCTTGCCTATGGGGAAAAAGTCAGGAACTGCTGCATTTTTACTCACTATAAACAGTAGGCATCAAGTGCTTTTTTACATAGTCATCTTACCAGGTTATTTTAGACTTATATTAAGTATAGACCCTACATCTCCAACATTAAACTATGGTTTCATTGACCATATTGTCAGTTAGGTACTTAGAAAATTTGTTTTTGCTTATGGTAAGAAAGTATAAAAATTTTAAGAGTTTCTGTTTCTGTGATATGAACTAGAAATTTAGATTGTTTTTATGAAATGTCAACATACTAATTGAATATGAAAATGAGTCACATGTTACTTTTAATACTTGTGTGGTTGCTGGTGGTTAACTGATTTTTAATATCTAATTTTCTGAAGCAACATAGTTGCAGTATTGATGTTGTACAGTTTTTATATAAATGATCTTGGGAATTGGCAGTGCTAACCTAAAAACCTTGCCTCTCTGGTAGTTTGAATCTTCCAGTATCTACTCAGGAGAAAGATGAGCAATCTCCTGAGAAATTTACAGCCTTGGAAGGCCAACGGAGGGCCAGCTCTGAATTGGTTTCAACTTGATGGTCAGCTGTGAGTTTGTTCGAACTTGAAGGCCATGAGTTGAGAATGAGTTAAAGAATGTTTGAAATACCCGGAGGATGTAGACATTTGAAAGACTGGCAGGAGTTTGCTCATTTATAAACTGTGTAATTGTTACAGATGAGTGGTCTCGGCCTATATTTGGTCTAACTTCCAACTACAAAGGAATGACAAGGGAAGAGAGGGAGCAGAGAGATTTAGAACAAATGCCTCAACGACGACGAATGAACAGGTATGAGGGAACAGGTATGAGTAAGTGGAATAATTGTTATTGTACTAAATCAGATGTTTGGAATCGTGCAAGATGATAAAACTTTCTTCCCTCTCAGCTTGATAACACTTGTGTAATTCATAAATATTTTGGTTTAAATGTGATGCATACAATGAAGATTTCCTCTACTCTTGGTCAGCTGGGTGAATGTGAACATTTCCAGTTTCAGGGGCTCCCAGATGTTCCAGGCACTTGCAGATAATAGGAGGGGGGGAAAATATTACTGGCCCAACCTGTTAATATACAGTATATTAATTATATCTCAGAGGTCAACTTATTAGTTGCAGATAGAACTATTAAAGTTCATCATGTTGCAAATAAATACTAACATAAATGGTCCTTTTAAAAGATAGGAAGCTTTTTACCCCAATACAGTGTAAAGAACCTTTTTTAAGTTTGATATTTAAATATGGTGGGTTGGAATTAGGGGATTTCCCCTCCTCTGTCACAAAGATCTAAAATTTGTTATTTGTTATTTCATTGATTAATTTTTTTTGGTAGCACTGGTGGTCAAACACCCCGAAGAGACTTGGAAAAGGTGCTGACAGGAGAAGAAAAGTAAGTTGTTTCTTTGATTGTTGTTTTGTTTTTTAATTTTTTTAAATTATAAAAATAGAAAGATAACTAATAAAACATGTATGGGGATCCAAGGGGGCAAGGGTGGAAGCAGAAGGATGGGTATGAGTAGGGATAAAATCACAGGGTTGCACAATTTTGTGGGTGGAGGGAGGTATAAAGGAAATGAAAGATCTGGCAAGGACTGGAAAAGACAGGGTAATGGTGCACGTAGTAGTGCAGTGGTGATTTTTTTTTTTTTTTCACAAAGAGATTGTCTTTATTTGTGGTTTCCCAGTTGGGAATTGGTACAGATGCTCTGGCTGCTTCATGCTGAACAGGGGTGTTGAGATGAAGGTGGAGCCCACTTTAACACTTTCCTGGTAGTAAAGTTGGGTTGAAGCTGCATGCCTTCTTGTTCAGTTAGAAGATATTTTCATGATGTTTTCTGCCCTCTGGACTGCAGGGTATTTGCAGTGGGAGTGGCTGGTTGAATTTTGAGGCTCCATCCACCTTTGCTTCCTTGCCTGGCAATTATATTTCCCTTTTGTTTCCAGAACTGGGCTCAGGGTTCAGATTCTTGAGCAAGACTCAGTGTGCTGGTTACCTATAGGAAAGGGAGCAAACCGAGAGAGAACAAACTTGTGAGTTAACAAAGATTTAAAGGGTTTTGGAGGTGTAACTTACAGGTGTATTAGAGGAGGAGATGGAGGAAAGTGTCTTAGATAAAGTTCCTCATACACATCAGGTGGCTCTACCCATGGGCCAGGTGGCTCTTCCCCCTCAGAGCTCCTACTGGAGACCACAGCCAGGGGGCAGCATTTTTGGCTCCAGCACCGCCCTCAGTGCCTCATTACGCTCCACCAAGTGGCCTACTTATAACTTGAAGTAGGTATTAGTACTTTGCCCTGCCACAAAGGGAGAAGGGGCTTCCAGAGTGGTGAAAAGGAAGACCCTCAACAAGATGGACTCACACAGTAATTTTAACAATGTGTTGGAACTTATCAGAGATGGTGGGGATGGTTTATGATAGGGCAAGGCTCATCAATTTGTTATGAGTTGTAGTCAACTTGATGACAATCAACAACAACACATAATTGCACTTTCAAGCCATTCAAACTATAGGGAACTGTCTTCCCAATGGTAAACTGAGGGTAAGTGTATGTGTGTTTGGGGGAAGAATGGATTGAAAATTCAAAAACTGTTTCTATTAAGATTTAGTCCGTATGTCTTTAACATTCATATTCTCTCTCTTTCATCCACTCACTCACTCACTCACACTCACACACAGAAACGCTCAGTAGATTAACCAGCTAGCTGAAAGAACATTTCTCATAACCTCTGCTTTTTTCCTAAAGTCTCATCTATCACAGTTTCAAACTTACACACACAGACTCCTTATCCTTCTAGTTCATCTTTCATTTTCATTCTGCTTTCTGTCCTCACTTACACAATAACTTCTACAACTACAACAATAACTTCTTTTAACAGCTGTCCTGCCCTGGGGTAGCTTCCTCTTTCACTAGGATCTCCTCCAAAACACAGGCCCAGTTAGCATACTCTCTATTATTGGCTTCTCAACTTGGCTCCCTCTTTTCAAACTCCAGTTGGTTAATTTTTTTCCTTTTAACTCCTGATTCAACAGTCTTTTCCATGGAGGAAACTATCAAATCTGTTTGTAGTTCAGCTTTCTCTTTACCACATTGCCGCAAGTGATGGTGCTCGGTCATCAATTTAAAAGTGTGCGACAACGTGTTAAATCCCCAATTCTAAATCTATGATATTTATGGAAGTATCTGTTTAGGCATTTCACGTTTAATATGATCAAAACAGAATTCATCTGTGAACTTAATTCCTTTCTGATATTAAGAACTGGTATTATCATTGTCTGAACAACTTAGATTAAAATGATGGCTGGAGTTTTCAACTCTAGCCATTTCTATTCCTCTAAATCAACCAGTGCCAGGCAAGTCTACCTTTCAATGATATCTTAACCTTCTATCCTCCCCCTCCGCACTCCAGTACTGTCTCAATTTAACGATAAACATGCCTTCAAATGCTCTATCCTAATGATGTCACCAGCATAAGGGTTCCAAATAAATTCTCATGATATTATGACCATGCTTAAGAACTTTCCATGAAACTACAAAGAGATTGACTACATCTGTGAAAAAAAATTTTTTTGGGGAAAAAAAAAGAGATAAAAACAAGGTTAGATGCTGAATATGGACTGCTCTTGTTCAAATTCAAATAGAAGCTAAAGAAAATGAAAATAAATCCACAGGGACCAGAACCTGACTATTCCACCTGAATTTAAAAATCCTCAAGGATATCATCCATGAAAAGAACAAAGACTCATTACAAAGACCACCATAGATGTCAGAAAAAGTGAAAATTGCACGAGAGTACCAAAAAGCCAAAACAAAGGGGGATAGGAATGCAGAAAAGAAAGAAATGAGCAGAAGATTTCAAAAGACAGTTCAAGAAGAAAAACTAAAGTATTATAACAGTATGCACAAAGAGCTTGAATTGGGAGAATAAAAAGGGAAGAATTAGCTAGGTATTTGTTTCCTCCCCTTCAAATATGCTGGTCTAAGTCAGCTCGATGGATAATTTTTTTTTAATTGTTAATTATTCATTCTTGCATATTTTTCTCACGGCCCCCTCTCCCAGTCACATTGTAATGCACCTTTTGTTCCTGGCTGTTGTCATACATATAATGCCTAATCATATATTTATCCCTTTTAAAGATTCTTGTTTCCTCTCCATCTGTCCCAATGCACTATTCATTACCTATCCACTCATTTCCTATTTGCCCCTATATCACCATGTCAGGCCTCTTTTAGAACAGTGGTGTTGTGTTGCCCTTTTGTGATTGAGATACTTCAGTCAGCATAATGTATTCGAGCTCATCCATATTGCGTAATCTTTTAGTTAGGAGTTCTGAGTACTGCATAGTATTCCACTGTGTGAATGTACCATAGTTTCTCTATCCATTTGTTTGTTGATAGGCACTTGGATTACTTACCATCTCTTTGCTATTGCAACATATATGGGCGTGCATACATCTGTTTGAGTTGTGTTGTGGCTCTGGTTTCTTTAGGGAATATTCCCAGTAGTGGCATTGCTGGGTCAAATGGTATTATTTCCAACTTTTTTATAAAGTACCAGACGGGTCTTCTGTAGTCATACCTTTTTACATTTCCACCAGCGGGAAAAAAGAATTCCAATCTCTTCATAGTCTTGCCAGCATTTGTTATTTGCTGCACTGTTCACCATCCTTGTCTGTTAAGGAGCACCCTGATTGCACTTCTTCCAAGACAAATTTGTTTGTTCTTTTGGCATCCATAGCATATTCAGTATTTTCTCCCACATCTCACTTCATATGCATCAGTTCTCAATCATCCTTTATTCATTGTTTGACTTTCAGATGGATAGGAAGCATTAGAAAATACCATGGCATGGATCAGGCACACAATAGTTTTTCAATGACTATCCTTTCTCTTCAGCACTTTAAAGGTATCCTTGACATCAGATTTCCCCAGTGCAACACATCTTTTAATTTCTTGACTGCTGTCACTATGGGTATTGATTGTCTATCTAAGTAAAGAGAAATTGTTGAAAACTTCAGTCTTTTTTTCCTACCTATCATAATGTTGCTTTTTGAATTTACATACAGACTTAATTTTTTATTCTTTCTGACATGGAGTTACTAAATTTGTGCATGTATGGAAGATAGTTTTGCAGTTTCTTGCGAAATTAAATATTCAGCTACCTTGTGACCCAGCAGCAAATGTCTTGGGCATTTATCCGTGAGAAGTAAAAACTTACCAGTCAAGCAAAAACCTATATATGGATTTTCTTAATGACTTATTCATAAAAGTGGAAGTAGCCAAGATGATTAAACAAACTGTATTATGCTATGACATGTAGTTGTTATTAAGGTTCTGCTAAGTCTCTCCCAGCATTAATTAAAATAGGCTCTGACTTTTGTAATCCATAGGATTTTCCACTGGCGATTTTCAAAAGTAATGGAATACTTTAGCAGCAATAAAAAGGAACTAAAATGTGCTGAGGTGGAAAGGCAATCTCAAAAGTTTATATACTACATGATTTCATTTATATAGACCATTACTGGAAGGACAAAACAGCAAAAATGAAGAGTGGGTTAATGGTTGCCAAGAGTTAGAGATAAAGCAGGCCAGTGAATATAGTTACAGGATGTTGTTGTTATGTGCCATCGAGTCGTTTCCGACTCATAACGACCCTATGCACAACAGCTCTAAACCCTGCTCTATCCTGCGCCAACCGCACCG